TAGACTTTTGTAGGTTAATTTTGTAACCTGCCACTTTACTGAATGTGTTAATAATTTCTAGGAGTTTGCGCGTGGAATTTTTGGCGTCCCTTAGATATATTATCATATCATCTGCAAAAAGGGATAATTTGAGCTCTTCTTTTCCAATTATTACTCCTTTAATTTCCTGCTCTTGCCTTATTGCTCTTGCAAGATTTTCAAGCACTGTGTTAAAGAGGAGTGTAGATAGTGGACAGCCTAGTCTCGTTCCTGATTTCAATGGGAATGCTTCCAGTTTTTCTCCATTTAGAATGATGTTGGCTGTGGGTTTGTTATATATGGCTTTAATTATGTTGAGGTATGTTCCCTCCAGTCCAATTACCTTTAGGACTTTGAACATAAATGCATGATGAATTTTATCAAAGGCCTTCTCTGCATCTATTGAGATGACCATGTGCATTCTTGTCTTTGAGCCCATTTATATGATTTATGATGTTTACTGACATGTATATTGAACCATCCCTGCATCTCTGGGATGAAGCCGACTTGATCATGGTGGATGATCGTTTTGATGTGTGTCTGTATGCGGTTTGCAAGTATCTTGTTGAGAATTTATGCATCTATGTTCATTAAGGATATGGGTCTATAGTTTTCTTTTTTGGTTGTATCTTTACCTGGCTTTGGTATTAGAGTGATGCTGGCTTCACAGAAAGAATTTGGAAGTTCTCCCTCCATTTCTATCTTTTTGAATAAATTAAGTAGTATTGGATGTAGATCTGTAAATGACTGAAAGAATTCTGATGTAAATCCATCTGGTCCTGGCTTTTTTTAGTTGGGAGGTTTTGAATTACTGTTTCAATTGCGTTTTGTGTTATGGGTCTGTTTAAGCTGTTAATCTCTTCTTGCTTTAGTTTTGGTGGTTCCCATGCCTTTAGATATCCGTCCATTCCTTTTAGGTTTTCAAATTTAGTAGCATATAGGTTTTTAAAGTATTACCTTATAATGTTCTGTATCTTTCTGGTGTCTGTTGTGATGTTTCCTCTTTCATCTCCGATTTTGTTGATTTGGAGGTGCTCTCTTTCTTTTGGCTAAGTGGGCTGGCGGTCTGTCCATCTTGTTTATCTTTTCAAAGAACCAGCTCTTGGATTCGTTGTTTCTTTGTATTGTTTTCTTTGTTTCGATTTCATTAATTTCTGCCCTGATTATTGTTATTTCTTCTTGTCTGCTGGGTTTGGGTTTCATTTGTTCTTGCTTTTCAAGTGTCTTGAGTTGCAATGTTAAGTCATTTATTTATGTTCTTCCTGATTTTTTGATGTAGGCACTCAGAGCTATAAACTTCCCTCTAAGGGCAGCTTTCAACATGTCCCAGAGGTTTTGTTGCGTTGTGTTGTCCTTTTCATTTAGTTCCAGGAATACTTTTATTTCTTTCTTAATTCCTCTTTTGACCCATTCATCATTCAGGAGTGTGTTGTTTAATCTCTGGTGTTGATTGTAAGCTTTATTGCATCATGGTCTGATAGAATGCATGGAATTATTTCAATTTTTTTTTATTTGTAGAGGCTTGCTTTATTCAGATGTCTCTCTGTTAACTCTCTGCCCTGTTGACCTATGTAATGGAGACAGTGGGGTACTGAAGTCGCCTACTATTAAGGAGTTGGGGTTAATCTGGGTCTTAAAGTCCTGTGGTAGTGTCTTTATGAAGTTGGGTGCACCAGAGTTTGGTGAATATATGTTCATGATTGTAGTATCTTCTTGATTCATTGTTCCTTTGATCAAAATGATGTGGTCCTCTTTGTCTCTTCTGTTTAGTTTTAGTTTAAAGTCTATTTTGTCAGATATTAGAATTGCTACGCCTGCTTTTCTCTTAGTGCCATTTGCTTGGTATAATTTTTTCCATCCTTTCACTTTGAGGTAGTGTCTGTCCTTGAAAGTGAGATGAATTTCTTGCAGACAACAGAAAGTTTGTTTCTTAATCCATTCACCTAGTCTGTGTCTTTTGACTGGGGAGTTCAGTCCATTAATATTTAAAGCTATTAATGAAAGATGAGTATTGAATCCTGTTATTTTTATTTCTGTTTACTGTCATTGAATTTCTTTCCACAATCCCTTGGGTATAGAAATTCCTTTCTTCAGCTCTTTGTTTTGCTTCCAGAAGGGCTGGTTTTGTGGACATGAATTCCTTCAGTCTATTTATGTTATGGAAGATTTTTCTTTCTCCTTTGACTATAACAGACATTTTGGCTGGGTATAGTAATCTGGGGTAGCATCTGTGGTCATTTAAAACTGAGAATACTTTGGTCCAGTCTCTTCTGGCTTTCATAGTTTGCACTGAAAAGTCAGCTGTAATCCTAATGGATTTTCCTTTATATGTGACTTGTTGTTTCTCTTTTGCAGCTTTCAGTATTGTCTCTTTGTTTTGTACGTTTAGTGTTTTTACTCTGATGTGCCGTGGAGAGTTCCTTTTCTGGTCCTGTCTGTTTGGTATTCTATATGCTT